CCACACGCCCCGGGGGGCCCCACGCTGAGGCACACAAGTGGCACGGCTCAGTGAGGAGCCGCGCCAAGCAAAGATGGCTGGCTTGCCCGATCTGAGCCGGCCAGCTCCGCCCCCACTGGAGAAAATGGAGGCAGCGCTGATGAAGGCGCCTAGCCTGGTGTGGTAAGCGGGGGCCGGGTGGGCCTTTGCCCCCCAAGCAGGGCTGGGCTGGGTGTCACTCACAAAGCTCCCAGAGGTGGGCCGGTCCTGCGCCTTCCTCTCCGTCTCTGCGTCGCCGCTGCCATCTTTCCTGGCCTTTATTGCCTTGGGCTGCTTGGTCTCCCGGCGCGGTTAGGGCACTCTCAGGAATCTTCTTTTGCATCGGCCCTAAAACCTCGAGACTGTAGTTGCTTTTTTTCGTTGTAGATTAGTTGATCAGTGATTTATTTGTTTTTTGTTGCTCTTGGAAATGCAAATAGTACTCTGGCAGCACAGCGCACACTTCTCAGGCTAGCTCTGTCCTCTGGCACGCCCGCTCCAGACCTGTCGCCATCTTGCTCCCCCATATGTATATTTTTAGTTAAAAACAAGAAAAATAAAAACAAGCTACAACAGTACATAAATTAAATGATGCACAAATTAGTGGGTCAGAGGTAAATGTTCAAAAAAATCATCTGGGAAAATTGATATATGGAAATAATACTTGGAAATATCTGGAAAATATGGTATATGGGAAAAATTAAATTAGATCCCTAGAACATTAAGCAAAAATAAGTTTCAAATGGATTGAAAAACAGAATGGTAAAAAGCCAAACTGCAAAACATTTAGGAGAAAATTAGAGATTATTTAAAAAAAGGTTAAGTTACAGAATAAAAAACACAAATAATAAGGAAAACAATAAATCTGATGAAGTTAATGTATGAACTTTCTGTAAACAAAACTCCATAAACTAAGTGAAAAGACAGGCCACAGCATGCTAGAAGATATGGTAATGCATATAACCAGGAAAGCCTCGGTATCCCAAATACTTAATAAAAAGTTCTTTAAATTATTAATAATAAGATGAAAAACAAAGAGATATGGGCAAAAAACTTGAACAGTCATTTCACAGAAGAGTAAAAGAAATAACCAATAGATGTGAAAAGATACTTGATCTCACCAGTAAGTGGAAAAATACAAACTAAAGCCAGTCATCAGATGGTTAAAAATTAAAGTCTGATAGAGGTGCATGTTGTAGAGATTGTGAAACGAGAAACTATCATACACTGCTGGTGTGAGTTTAAGTCAATGTGATGATTTTGGGGAGCAAATTGGCAAAATCTAGTAAAACTGACATTGCCTCTTTCCTTGAACTTAGTAGTTTTTCTCTTACAAATCTACCTGGAGAAACTCAAAATGTGCACAAGAAGATGTGTATAACAGTGGCTATACCAACATAACTTGTAATAGGAAAAATCTGAAAAAAGGCTAAATGACCATTAACAGTTTAGTGAATAAATGTTTTATGACTATATCGTCATAAAAGGGAATACTATAACATGGTTAAAGTGAGCACATAGTGCCAAATATATCTGTAAATCTAAATGAGTTGTTGAATTTTCTCCAGCGAAGATATAAAAATGTTCCATAAGCACATAAAAAGGTGCACACATCACTAATTGTTAGGGAAATGCAAATTAAAACTACAATAACATACTACTTCATACCCATTAGGATGGCTGTTATCAAAAAACAAAAGTGTTGGTGAGGATGTGAAGAAATTGGAACCCTTGTGCAGTGCTGGTTGTAATGTAGGATTGTGCAGCCCTATGGCAAACAGTATGGCAGTTCATCAAAAATTAAACATAGAATGACCATATGATCCAATAATTCCATTTCTGAGTATATAACCAGGTGAACTGAAAGCAGGGATGTGAACAGATATTTGTACCCCCATGTTCTTAGAAGTATTATTCAAAATTGCGAGAAGAAAGAAGCGACCCAAGTGTCTATCAATGTATGAATGGATAAGCAAAATGTGGTACATACATACAATGGAATATTTTTCAGCTGTAAAAAGGAAGGCCATTCTAACACATGCCACAGCGTGAATGAACCTTGTTAACCTTGAAGACATTGTGCTAAGGGATATAAGTCAGCCACAAAAGGACAAATAATATGTGATGCCATTCATATGAGGTATTAGAGTAGTTGAATTTATAGAGACAGAAAGTAGGGTGATGGTTGCCAGGGGCTGAGGGGAGGGAAGTATGGGGAGTTATTACTTAATGTGCACAGAGTTTCAGTTTTGGAAGATGAACAAAGTTCTGGAGGTGGACAGTGGTGATGATTGCACAACAATGTGAATGTACTTAATGACAGTTAACTGCATACTTAAAAATGGTTAAAATGGATAAAAAAAAAAAAAGAAAAAAAAAAACCCTTAATAGGTTGAAGAAAATAAGCAAGTTGCAGAATGATCCATATGGTATGATACCATTTATACGAGTATTAGTATAAAGTTTTACAACTTACAAAAAAAACCCTATGCATATGTCATAAATACAGAAATATTCAAAAGCAAATATGGGATAGTGGTTGCTTCAAAAGAAGGAACTAATAAGGAAACTTAAATTGGGGAGGGAGTACATAGGAATTTCAATCATATCTGCAAAGTTTCCTTTCTTTAAAAAATCTATAATAAACATGATAACATATTGGTTTTGACAAATCTGGGTAGCAGTACATAGGTGTTTGTAATGCCATTCTCTAGACTGTTCTATGAGCTGAAAAAAAAATCTTACTTTTCTCCCAAAAGAGGGCAGCGTATAGAGTTAGAAGAAATCTCCAAAAAGCCCAATTTTTAGTTAATGCTTGTGTTTATTCTCAGCTCCTTTTCCTGACTCCCTTCTTAGTGAAACCTTAGATGTTTTTTTTCTTTGAGCATTTTTTTTTTATAGTTCTCATCTTTAAAATCTGCTTTCCTTTCCTTTTTCTGCCTACTCGTGTTGGAGGCTGGTCCAAGTTATTAATCCTTTTGTGCTAGGTAGAGACAGATTGGTCAGTGTCTTTTCTGGACTTCAGATATCCCCAAATGACCTCAAAGGTTGTTCCTCTTTGGAGATTTTCATGATAAAGGGGTTTCTGGAAGTCCTCTTTTATCTCACTCTCTTTTCTGTTTAATTTCTTTGAAGGATATTTGGTTTTCTGTAAGTCTGTTGCTGGAATAATATAATCAATGTACAATTTCTAAATCAGTGGCCATGATGTGAGGTGTAGTTTTGTGTGTGTTGGGGCTAGGTGCAATGAAATCTGTCTGCCCTAACTCGTTAGCTGACTCTAACATTTCCATCTCTTTATTTTTCAAAGCCTGTGCCCTTTACAGGTTACCCTCCCCCCAGATAGGAATACTATTTCAGAATACTATCGTTATACTTATACAATTTCAAACATTCATAAACCTAAATTATGAAAGAGCAAAGGTCATCAAATGAAACTTTGCAAGTTTCTTAAATTGCCACAGGTCTAATTCTTCATTCAATCAACTTCACTGGATTCTTATAATGACTACTTTAAGTTATGCAGATGAAAGCACTTTGGAAGTTTTATACTACTACACACATATTATGCACATTTCTTAAATTAACTGTAACATGTAAAATTTGAAGACTATTAATCTTCATGCATAGGCCTCTATAATGGTATTTCCTAAAATGTGATCTTCAGATCAGTGACACTCTGGTATGTTAACAGGTGTTATGTGAAAAGTGTTAGAACAAAACATTGGGGAAGCACTGGGTTAAATAAAGTTATGTTAGGTTTTTGTACCTTTGTACCCTCTCTTTTGAAGGTATTTATTAGACAAATATACTTTGTAAACTAAAGAGAGAGATTATACAAATTAAGGAGTACCTTTTTGGGGGGATGTTTGTGTTCTGTGGAATATCCTTTGGGAAATACAACTCAAGGCATATTTTACTGTTCTCAATTTTCCAGCTTCATTTTCTAAAGTATGATTTTGGTTTTTGTAATCCCTTTGATCTTCATTAGTAAGAGTATTGAATTAAAACCAAGTTTATTTTATTATTAGTGTTAAAGACATAATTACTTAAACAGGAAAATAAGTAATTCATTACAACTTTAACTTTACAACTAACTGTACTTTTGATTATTTTTTTGTTTCATAAAAGCTTCTGTGTTACCTAAAAAAATTAGTTTCAAAATATCTTAACATCCATGTGCTTTTATTACATACCAAGGTCTGCCTTTAGATGTGCCATGTCTAAGAAGATGAAATCTAAAACACTGTCCTGAGAATGTCCCTAGACACTGAATGCTGAAGTATTTGAAATCTCAAAATCTATATTGGGTGTATATGTAAATTTTGAGGTTATACTCAAGCTATATACATTTCTCTTAACCATTTTTCTTTCCATAGTCTTTATATAGCTCATGAATTATTTATGTATTTTGTTTTTTATCTATGTTTTTGGCAATTGAAATCATTCCCCTCTACATAAAATAAAAGCTACTCTTTTGAAATATTAAATCATTAAAGTGATTTAAATATTTTATTTCGATGGCTCTATTTTCAGGCATTCTTTCAGTGAATATTATATATACTATTTACTTTTATATGTATGCATGTAATATTTGATTTATTATTTGACTTTCTAATAGGTGTGCCCTATATTGACATTGATGAGCTTTATTATAAGAACTTTGATATATTTAACAAAGAAAAGTCATTGAAATTATCCTCCAATATAAAGTACACCTAATTTCATCCCTTTTATTTCCTTTATTTTCATACACTTAAATTTATTTATGGGAATTTTAGGTGGGAGTTTTTTTTATCTAAGGAATAATGCTAATTGAATAATGATACTAAATTGTAGGTCATACAAAATTAATGAAGGAAAATTATTTTGCTTCCTGATTTCAAGTATTATATTTTAATTTGGCCAGTGATTATTTTATATTAACTATCTTAATTTGTTCTTTAATTTCATATTTTGCTCTTCTGTTTTCTTTTTTCTAGCTTGTGATGAATGGAAAATACTGCCGAAACCAAATCTTCATAGAGATGTCAACAGATTTGGACACTCTGCAGTAGTCATTAATGGGTAAAAGAAGCACATTTTCAATTTTTAGAGGGTCAAGGATGTCAGTCATAAAGATATCAGTCTTGCTATCCAAATATTCTGTTATTTTTTTGAAAATTATCATTGCTACTTAATAGCATTGAATTTTATATATTCCTACTCTACTTTGGAATACATTTTGGTTTATTAACCATGTACTTTATTCTTTTTTGCATAAATTTAAGGGGTAGGGGAGTAGTCAAAGCAAAGGTGTTGAGATGAAACTTCAGATAGCTTTTTAAGTCATTCTGCCTTTTTTCCTTTTTCCAGAGATCGGATAAGGAATGATTCTTCCTTTAAAAAGATCAAACTGAAATGATAGAGAGGCTAGCCCCATATTTCTATCAAGAACAAGAAAAATGAGAAGAATTAGATTCTCATTTTGGTTCTGTCATTAACTAAATGTGTGATTTTTGGCAAGTTTCTTAACCTCTCTGGAATTTAATACCCTTATATTCATTAGAAAATTGGACTGGATGATCATTAAGTTACCCTCCTCTAAATTAATATGATTTTTCTTTTTCTGTAGTAAAAATTTGGTGATTTCAGATTCAAGTTACAGTAAACAATACGCTATCTCATTCATGAGCTTAAAATTTGTAATTCAGAATGATCTTTTTATAAGCTCATTTTATTAACATCTTAGCCTAATTATGTAAAAACTCTTTTACCACAAAATGACTTAACCACATGAAACTGTGTAATTGATATCAATTGGCTTTCAGAATAGTAATAAATGAAATTCAGTGTGAAACATAAATCCTCTAGGCTTCTCTCTTGAAAACTGTGTTTGGATGACTTTTATTTTGCTTTTTAAAATAATAACTTTAAAATAATGATTTTCTGACCTTTATATGTTATAATACATTATATTATAATTAACATTATATTTAGTATATTATAATTAACAATATTCTTAGAAATAAAAGTTATGCTGTTTTGAGGGCACATCAAACTTCTTTGACAACACGTTAGTATTAATTTAGGATTGTCTAAGCTTTTCTTTCTAAATTGAAATTTTGAAAAATCTATCTGATTATTTTACTCTTGGTCTTCATGTTTTAAAGAGTAAAACATGATAAGAAGAATTCTTTATCTAATTATTAAAGTCTATGTATGTATTCAAAAATTATGATTCTATTATATAGCAATTCTAAAGTATATCTTATTATAGAAGTATAGTTATTATTTATTTACTAAAAAATTGTTGCCTCCTTGTTAAACAGTACTTCTTTTCCTTATCAAAGGAATGTTGTATGTAATCCTTCTTTCTTTCTTGCATTAGCAATAAATAGACGTTTTGATGACTTAATGTTTTCTTTTTTTTGGTGGCTGGCCAGCATGGGGATCTGTATCTGTGACCTTGGTGTTACAAGGCTGTGCTCTAACCAACTGAGCTAATTGGCCAGCCCCAATGTTTTCTTAATACAATAAGGTTTATAGAATATTTTACATTTTATCTGGAAAGTCTTCAGGAAATTTTTTTATAGCTCATCTGGTGTTTCCACATCATATTGTATGTTAGAAGTACGATTTTAAAGAACAGTGTTGACAGGATATTTTAAAAAATGTAAAATGTATATTTAAATCTACATTTATTTCTAAAACTAATTCATTAGGCAGAGACTTTTAATAGTTTCTTTAAGATTATTGTTTTGTTTTTAATAGGTCCATGTATATATTTGGGGGATTTTCTAGTGTACTCCTTAATGATATCCTTGTATACAAGCCTCCAAATTGCAAGGCTTTCAGAGATGAAGAACTTTGTAAAAATGCTGGTCCAGGGATAAAATGTGTTTGGAATAAAAATCACTGTGAATCTTGGGAATCTGGGAATACTAATAATATCCTTAGAGCAAAGTGCCCTCCTAAAACAGGTAAGGATTTTTTTCTTTTCCCCCTTTTTGGCAGCAGAACATTTCTATTTGGCTAGAAGTAGTAATATATTCTATTTATAAGAATTACCTTAGTAACTTTCAGAAATGAAAAAAATCATAATTCTCTATTTAGGAATTCTAATGTTTGCACTTAATAGTGATTAATAATTTAATATCTTTATTAGCCATTTTTATTTTTGAAATCTTTATAGATATTTTACGAGGGAAATTCAGAAAGTTCATGGAAAGATTTGTATCATCTTTTGATTCTATTTATCCATGAATTTTTTGAAATACTCTTGTGTGTGTGTGTATATATATATATATATATATATATATATATATGAATTGGTTTGTAATATGAGTTAAAAATGCTTTCAGGTATACTACTTGTAGGAAATACTGTGTGGACAAAGAAGTAAAATGAAGTAATTTATGTGCATTTGGTGTTTTTTCTTCCCAAATTATTGCCTAGCCACACCATAAAATTTAAAAAAAATTCTAGAATTTCATGACTAATTTTCTAATTTTATGTTCTTTATTAAATGTTAAATAAATAAACCAGACTTACAAAAAATTACCATTCAATATGTATGTATCTATGTGTATATGTATTTATTTATGAATATGATTTAGATAAAAATTATTCAGTTTACTTTAAATGTATGGGAATTTTTATACATTTTTGATGCTGTAATTAACAAATGTATTTTCAAGTTTTGCTAATCTATATTAACTCAGATGTCTTTAAATATCTTTATAAAGAGTGACAATGAGCATTTGTTATAATATTTTCTTTTGGATGGATAGTAGTACATTTTGTACAGTAAAATACTTAGAAGTCCTTTTCCCTCCCTCCAAAATGTATACCTTTAACACGGCTGTAGTGTAGGATACTGGTGGATTGAATAATTAAGATGTGGGTAGAAGGTATCTAAAATCCCGTGAACACAGACTACAGAGTTGACTTTATATTGGAGAACTTACTTTGATATGGAAGGTCTTTTCGGTTTAAAAAATCTTAGTGATTCTTAAGTAGGTGTTATAAATGTGTGAATTAAGAAGTGTAACATTTTCTTTTTCATGGTGATATATTCTGTGTACCATTTATATTATAGCTGCTTCTGATGACAGATGTTACAGATACGCAGATTGTGCCAGCTGTACTGCCAATACAAATGGGTGCCAATGGTGTGATGACAAGAAATGCATTTCAGCACACAGTAACTGCAGTATGGTTAGTATTTATGAGTAAATGGTGATTTAGTTTACATCGATGCTCTATAATCATTAGCTTACCAATAAATAGCACTTTACCAAAAAAAGAACTTTATACATTAAGACTTTTAGAAAGTACGTACAGAATCATTCACTTCTTTGTGCATTGTAAAGTCAGACTGTAGTTTGTTGCTCAAATTTGCCAGTCTAGATTCCATTTTGGATCTAGTAACTTTTACTTCTTTTCATGGATAAGACTGGGAAAATGTTTTTAAAACTGACTTTAAAAAAAACCTGTAACTGTAAATGTTGTCTTCTGTGCTGATAGAAATTGGATTATATTGGTAGATATTGAGAAACCATTTCCATGGGAATCCTGTCAGATGTGCATTAACAGTGGTGTTGGTCTAGTGTTTTATTTATACACTAGTGTCACAACTGTGGGACTGCTACTGGCATCTAGTAGATAAAGGCCGGGGGTGATGCTAAACATCCTACAATGTGTAGAACAGGCCTGCCACAGTAATTACATGGCTCAAAGTGTGAATAGAACTCTACGTGAGATGAAGGGCTATTGAAAAACTTATAAAATTAATATTTATGGCAGATGAAAATGGATTAAGAGTAGCAAAAATTAAGCTTTTCAGTGATTGCATTAAAACATCCCATGTTTGTTAGAAGATGTCAGTAAATTGAAAGGAAAATTTTAAAAAGTAGTATTTAGAAGGATTAAAGATTCTTTCATTAGGATATAGCTTAAATAAAACTAAATAGTATGCATACAGATTTCAACAAAACATCCATTATTTTTCTTTTTTACAATTTTTATTGAAATGTATTGATTACACATATTTATAGGTGAACAGTTATATTTCAATGCATATGTACAATGTGCGATGATCAAATCAGGATAATTAGCATATTCATCATTGCAAAACTTTATCATTTCTTTGTGATGTGAACATTTGATCTTTTCTCTTTTAATATTTTGATAACATGCAGTAAATTATTGTTAGTTATAGATATCTGGCTCAACTGTATACCAGTAGAACTTATTTTTTCTATCTAGCTGTAATTTTGTGTCCATTAATCAGCTGCTTACTCTCCCTCCTCCCTGCTTTTTTCCTGATTTGACGTCTAGTAACCACAGTTTTACTCTCTCCTAGAAGTTCAGCCTATTATTATTATTCTTTATTTATTTTAGCTCCCATGTATGAGTGAGAACATGTGGTATTTCTCTTTCTGTGTCTGGCTTATTTCACTTAACATACTTTTTTCTAAGTTTATCCATGCTGCTACAAATGGTAGAGTTGCATCTTTTTATGGCTGAATAGTATTCCATTGTATATACATTTTTATTAATCAACAAAAGCATCCACTTTTTTTCAAGATAGCAGGCAAAGGTAAAAGTTAAATAAAAGGGAGTTTGAAACTAAGTAAAAAGTTTTGATTGTTTCATCTAAAAATTTTCCCCAGTAACCAATAATATGTCAAAATATTTAAGTTTTATGAGTCTATCCTAAAATAATACTTAGAACTTTAAATGGAGGAAAATTTGCAGTTATTGACTTCTTAGATTGAACCCTTTTGCTTTCATACATATTCTGTTGGTATGTACTTTTCAATAATATAAGTTGCCTTAATAACAAGATATACTTTAATTTTATTTGAATTTTAACATTAATATGATGTGACTATGCTTTGAAAGTTTAAATTACATTTTTAAAAATAAGGCCTGGGAATAAGGGGCTCGTATCAGGATTCTTCAGAGAAACAGAACCAATAGGAGATATATATGTTTATATATGTATGCACACACACACATGCACACACACACACTTGGGTACTTCAAAAAGTTTGTGGAGGGCCGGCCCAGTGGCGCACTGCTATAGTGCACTGCTTGGGAGCGTGGTGGCGCTCCCACCGAGGGTTCGGATCCCACATACAGACCGGTTCCCGCTCACTGGCTGAGCGAGGTGTGGGAGCAACACCGAGGGTTGCGATCCCGTTGCCGGTCCCGGTCCGGTAAGGGCGCGACACTGAGGGTTGCGATCCGTTGCCGGACATGAAAAAAGACAAAAAGGAAAAAAAAAAAAGTTTGTGGAAAAATAGTATTATATGATAATACAAGTATTTCCATGAACTTCTCGAAGTCCACTCATGCAATTGTTCCTAGGTATCCAAGGGAAATTGGTTCCAGGACCCCCTGAGGATACCAAAATTCATGGATGTTCGAGTCCCTTACATAAAATGGTATAGTATTTGTATATAACCTATACACATCCTCCCGTATACTTTAAATAATTTCTAGATATTTTATAATACCTAATACAGTGTAAATACTATGTAAATAGTTGTTATACCATATTGTTTAATACGGGAATAATGACAAGGAAGAAAGTCTGTATATGTTCACTGCAGATGCAATCATCCTTTTTTTTCTTTTCCCCCCAAATATTTTGATCTGCTGTTGGTTGAATCCATGGATGCGGAACCCACGAATATGGAGGGCCAACTGTATATAGAATGATATTTATTATAAGAATTGGCTCATGTGGTTATAAAGGCTGAAAAGTTCCATGACCTGCCGCCTGAGAATTGAAGACCAAGGAAAGCTAGTTGTGTAATTCTACTCTATGTACAAAGGTCTGAGAACCAGGAGTGCAGATGGTGTAAGTCCCAGTCTAAGGGAAGGAAGAAACTGATGTCTCATTTCAATCAGTCAGGCAGAGAGAGGAAATTCTTCATTCCTCTACCTCTTATTCTTTTAGGCCCTGAATAGGGCCCACATTGGGGAGGGCATTCTGCTTTACTCAGTTTAAAGTAAATTGCTAATTAGCATGCAAATGCTAATCTCATTTGGAAACATCTTCACAGACACATACAGAAATAATGCCCAAATATCTGGGCATCCCATGTTCTGGTCAAGTTGACACATAAAATTAACCATCACAAGTCCACCCCTTGTCAACTTGGCACCCATATGCATTTCCATAAACTGTGCTTAATCTTTAAATGAAGATAATATCAAGGTCCACCTAACATGATACAACTATACTGTGTACAACTGAAAATGCACTAACCCCTTCCTTGGAAAAGGAGGTAATGCCCTTGACTGATGTTTATTGCTCTCCTTGATATCCCATAACTTAAATACTATAATGTAAAATTAACCATACTTAAATTCTGATATAAAGTCAATGCATCTTATGTTATACAATAAGGGAATTAGAGAGGAAGGAAAACAAAGATACTTAATACACACATACAGACACACACAAAGATATTCTTAGCAAAATGAGCAGGAAATACTCCTGACAATTATAGTCCTTATTTCTGTAACTGGTCACGTGGTCGAACCTGTTATTTATAACTGCCTTCTTCCTCTAACCAGTCTATATTCCGTTTGCCTTCAGCAAACACCTTACCTGCTTGTGATTCTTTATCTGGCAGGGTCACTTAAACCTTCATTCTTGAAAAGTCTGGGGCATTAGTAGTTCTGCCTGGATTGGGTTGTTGTAGTTTTCCATAGATCTTAATCACAGTGCACATAATACCAAGAGATGCTCTAAGGGATCTCCTGTATTCCAGGCATACTCTTTCTTATGCCCATTGTGGAGTAGTAGTCCAGTTTCCCTGCAACAGTCCAGGTCAATCACCCTAGCCAGCATAGTAACTCTCTTCTTTGCCTATTGATTTGGAGGCATAAGGGGCCCAAAGTGGCTGAATGGTAATCTTAACTTCCAGTTCAATGGAATTATTGTTGTTTCCTAGTAGAAATATTCCTCCCTCTGAAACTAAGACATCTAGGCCAGCAAAGCACGAGGTCACAGGAATAGGAAGAAAAATTTCACTAATAGGTCACTGGGGGTAATAGTGAATAGTGTCACTCCCATTTCCACCCCCAGATTTGTGTATCCATAAATCTTGGCTATAAGAGAAACAGCATCATATCTTGGATGTTAATTCAGAGCATATACAGCCTTCTGGAGAGCTTTGCTCTATTCCTGCAAGTTATTGCCACCTAGATGGCACTGTAACTGAATCTTCAAAAGACCTTTCCATTGTTCTGTCAAACTAGCTGCTTCAGGATTGTAGGGAACATAATAAAATCAGTGAATTGCAATAGCATGGGCCCATCATCAAACTTCATTTTTTGACCTGCCATGGCAGAGGATAAGGCATTCTGTAAATCCTCTGATGATAGTTTTGGCAGAAACATTGCAATGCAGGGAAGGCAAATCTGCATCCAGAATAAATGTCTATTCCAGTAAGAGCAAAATGCTGCCCCTTCCATAGTGGAAGCTTTTCAATGTAATCAATAAGTCCCCACGTAGTTGACTGATCACTCAGGGGAATGGTGCCGTATCAGGGGCTTGGTATTGGTCTCTGCTATTTCCCAATTGGACACTCAGCACTGGCTGTAACCAGACTGGCCTTGGTGAGTGGAAGTTCATTTTACTGAGCCTGTGCATAGTCTCCATTCCTGCCATCATGGCCATTTTGTCTATGAGCCCATTGGGTGATGAAAGGGGTGGTCATGAATAGGTACATAATTGCACATCTGGCCATTTTTCCTTCCAAGCAAAATGAACAACCAGGTATACTGCTTGAAGTTCTGCCCACCGGGAGGATTTCCCTTTACCATTGTTCTTCAGGGACGTCCCAGAAAGTGGCAGTAGTGCTTCAGCTGTCTGCTTTTGGGTGGTGCCTGCATATTGTGCAGAACTATCTGTAAATCAGGCCTGAGACTTCTTTTCCTCTGCAAGTGATTGTAGGGTACTGCCTGCGAAGCCATAGGTGCAAATTGGGAGAGGAGTGGGAACCATGGGCATTTGAGCTACTTCATGTAACTTGTGCCTTCAGGGCCTGCTTGGGCCTGATTACGTATATACCACTTCCCTTTGATAATGGAGTGCTACTGTGCACACCTAAGTTTATGGTTCTGTGGGTCAGATAACACCCAGTTCCTAGTGAGCAGCTCAGGTAGCGTGGTAATTTGGTGGTCCACATTTAAGT